GAAAATTCCTTATACATCCTGTACTCCCAGCATGGTTTGTGAAGTACTCCTTTCCTTGGCAATTCTAATGAAAACACATGAGGGGAAAAGTGACTTTTCTGTTCTTTCCTATCAGATTGTACTAGCTATTCACATAATGAACACTTTATAGTACCGGAGACAATTGGGCTAGGTGGAACTGCTGGTTCCCCTTTCTTGGTAATTTGGTGCAAAATCAGATATTTTAGAGGGGCTTTCTTTGCTCGCATTGCCCAACTATCTGCCCTGTTACACGGCTGCTTGTATTTCAGCAAGTGATACTTCTACAGTTTGGGTGAAGTCTGCCCTCACCACACCCCAGTCAAAAAGTTCAAACCTAAAGGCAGCTGTCAGCTCCCCGCCCCCCCCATATACCCCTTGTGTGCTTTGCCAAAATTCTTTTCTCATTGGGTTCTTGACACCCAATAGCGGCTAGGTCCCATTTGTAATAATTATAAAAGCAATTATAATTGTTACTGTTTCAAAACAAACGGGAGGGGTGTGTGGAGCATTCAAGTCATTTTCTTATTTTAGGTAAAACATGAGGTATGAGGCAGAACAAGTTGGGCAAGCTAGTGAGAAGGGATTATGGGCTGTCTGCATGGAAGAATTTCTTGGAACCTGGAGGGGAGTGGGTGTGGGTTGTCCGTGTACCTGTGAAGGCGTAGTCCTCTGAAAGGGTCAGGAGCTGCAGGGGTGTGGTCCCCTTCCTCTGGACACCCTCTCTGAGGTTCATGCCATGTGCTCGTGGTTTGGGTGGGCTGGTGAGTTTCTGCTATTGGTGGTTGCATGTCAGAGACTGGGGAATCCCAGTAAGACAAGTGGAAGGCTGCTAGGACACCTGGGAGCCATTCACCAAGATCTCGAGGGAGGGAGCGTCAGGATTCTTCTGATGATTGCTTGAAGAGCTCTATGTGTAATGAATCAATGGGGAAAGGATTTCCTTCCTTCCTTCTTCTTCTTCTTTTAAAATATTTTATTTATTTGTCAGAGAGGGAGAGCATGAAAGAGAGGCAGAAAGCTAGCACAAGCAGGGGAGCAGCAGGCAAAGGGAGAAGCAGACTCCTCACTGAGCTGGGAGCCTGAAAGAACCCTGGGATCATGACCTGAGCCGAAGGCAGATGCTTAACTAACTGAGCCACCCAGGCATCCCTGGGGAAAGGATTTCTCGTCTGATGCTCTTTTTTTCTTTATAAAGCACTCCCTGTGTGTCATTCACTTTTAAAACTTTCATTATTGATTTTGCCCAGAGTGAAAAACCAAGAAGCTGGTTTTCCAACTGTGCCTGGCAATGCCTTCAGCTTCTGTGGTCGTGCCTGGAGGGAAAGGTCCAGGGGACCCGGCCCAGTGCTCCCAGGACTGCTTCCATCAGCACTGGTCCACCTCATCTCCTTGCTCTGGTGGCAGTTTCCTTAAGATGGTGTTTCTGTAAAATTCCATTGCTTCATGTGTTTGAATGGAATTGGCATTTATGGTGTGCGGAAAAATAAATCACTTCTTTTTGAAGAATCATTTTGGATTGCTCCTTTCTGAGAGAGATGAAATATGTGATCTCCTTCCTCTGTCTCAGTTACAAGCGCCGCCTTGTTTGGAATGCTTGGAATTTTTGTTGTTGTTTTAACAAGATAGGTTTCTGCTTTGGAAAAGGCTTTTGTCATAAAAATATTTTCATATATAAAATATACTTTAACCAGTTGCATATATATTAAACCACTTTATTGAAGTATGATTGACAGACAAGAAGATGTACATATTTAACATAGACAATTTGATGAGTTAGAAGATAAATATATGTCTGGGGAACAGCATAATACCTTTATTTAAAAATGCTATGTTGTATACTCAAACATTTGCTAGGAGGGTAGATCTTCTGTGAAGTGCTCTTACCGTAAATACACACACACAAGTAATGATACATAAAGGGGGCAGGAGGAAACTTTTGGAGGTGATAGATATTTTTATATTTTTATACTTTGATTTGTAACCACAAAGGAAGGAGCGAACACTTAATGTGTCTATGGCGAGAGATAAAATTATGTTTTAGGTGTCCACAGTGAACACAATTTCCAGTTCTGCCTTCAAAAGACTACTTCTAAGAGATAATCTAAGAAGTAGTCAATTATGTCTTCATTTCTCAAGTGTCCTATGTCTCTTTCTAAAAAAATAAGATGGAGACATCTGGCTGGCTTGGTAGATAGCCTTGGTAGGTAGCATGCAACTCTTGATCTTGGGGTCATGAGTTCAAACCTCACATTGGGAGTAGAGATTACATTAAAAATTAAAAAAAAAATAATATAGGTTGAGATTGTAAGAAATAATTGACTTTGTTGAAGAATACCTAGATCTCCTGCTAGGTTAGAACAACAGGATTTATCTATTCATAACCGCTTCCTCTGGATGGGCTCTTCGTGTAATTGACATTTGTGGTGTTGGGTGGCTGGGCCTGTGTCATTCCCATCTTCCCGACTCAGGAAGCATTTACTGGCTACCTTTCTTCTTCTTCCTCCTTCTTCCTCCTTCTTCTCCCTTCTTTTCCCTTCTTCCCCCTTCGTCCTCCTTCTTCCTTCTCCTCCTTCCCCTCCCCCTTCCTCTTCTTCTTCCCCCTCCCCCATCTTCTAAAATTGTATTAAGTTTTAACATTTTAATTCCAGTGTAGTTAAAATGCAGTGTTATGTTAGTTTCAGGTGTATGCTGTAATAATTCAACAATTCTATGCGTTACTCAGTGCTCATCATGAGAAGTGTACTGGCTATGTTTCTTCTTGATGTTTGACTTGGGATTTCTCTTTTTTTTTTTTTTGGGCAAAGATAGTCAGAGTATGTTGTATGCGCTGTGTTTGGAAAATAGAAATGTGAAGACTGCAGTTGGGGGAGATTGATAATATCCCCATTTTGGAACTGGGATGACTTGCAGAAACAGACGGGTGGTAGTTGTCTGTGCATAAACTGGGAAGAGGAGAGAGGCAGAATCACTCATTTTGACTCCTAATTGACCCTAAAGTGAGATTTTTTTTTTTTAAACTTCAAAATACTGAATTTGATAGGCATGTTGATTAGCTCTTGGATGATAGCTCATTAATAGTTAATCAAATAAGAACACCATGTCTCAGACCTTATTGAGCCTTTCCAAAATATTATGGAAGCTGATCATTGATTAGTTTTCTATTCAAATTTATTTTTAATCTAGTCTACTACTACTCAAGGAGTAGGTGAAAAACCTTGAGTATTTCAGGTTCCTAGAGTCAGTAACTATTGATTCTTTCTGGTAGGACATTAACATAGTGCAGTTATATCTCAGAGATTTTCTTTTTCCCTTTCCATCTCATCCAATTTTGTTTTCTCTCCCTTATTTTTATACTTTTGAACCTATATGTTGAGACATAAGCCACTGTGGGGCTCTGTAACAAATCCTGAACATATTTCTTTTGCTCAAAAATTGGGACAAAAAGAGTGTGGTTCTCTGAGGGGGAGAGGCTATTCACAATGATTTTTATGGCCAAATTTCTTAGAATTGGCCATAGTCTTTTAAAATAGTAAGAACTATAGGACTTTGCTTCTCTCTAATTAGAACATGGGGCTTCCTGATAAGATCCAACTATAGAGTATTTTCACAATTATTTTACTTCTTTTAAAGATCATCTGAATAAAACAGGTGGAAGGGTTTCTGTTCTACTTTTTATTTTTCATCATAGTCATCCATGTTTGGAGATAGATTTTGCTCTGTATAGTTTCAGTGACCTAATGGTACTTGTAGTCATGGACTTTTTGTCTCTTTCTCTCTCTTTGTCTTTTTTTCCCCCTTCTTTCCTTACCCCTTCTTCCTTCTCTCTCTCCCCATTCCACCCCTCCACGTAATATCCGCTTGCGAGGCAGCTCTGGGGTAATGGACCAGGCACTGGGCTCGGTCTCAGAAGGTGGAGGTTTGAATTTTGCCCTGCTATATCCAAGCTCTGAGAACTGTGGCAGATTATTTAACTTCTCAGGACCTCAGTTCACCTATAAAATAATCCTCATGGTTGCAAAAGTTGAAGTGAAATGACATATGTGAAAGAACACAATACTGATGCCCTGTGGGGGGGTATGTACTGGTATAAAATAGACATAAAATTTACCATTTCAGTCATTTTAAGTGTGTCATTTGGTGGCATGAAGCACACTCATAGTCTTGTGCAACCTTCACACTATCCATTTGTAGAACTTTGTCATCATTCCAGACAGAAACTGTACCCATGAAATGGTAAAGTGGTAACTCTCCATCCCCCCCACCCCCGTCCCACCTTTCTGCTTTCTGTCTCTCTGAATTCGACTTGCTGGGTGCTTCACATTGATGGTATCACACAATGTTTGCCCTTTCGGGTCTGGCTTATTTCACTTAGCGCGATGTCTTCAAGGTCCATCCCTATTGTAGCGTGTGTCAGAGTCTCATTCTCTTTTAAGGCTGAATAACATTCCATTGAATGTTTCTATCACCCTTTGTGTATCCGCTCATCTCTTGATGGGCATTTCCATAGTTTCCACCTTTTGACTGTTGTGAACAGTGGTGCTAGGATTCTTGGTGTACAAGGATCTGTTTGCATCCCAGTTTCCGTTCTCTTGGGTGTATACCGAGAAGTAGAATTGTTGGATCATACGGTAATTCTTTGTGTAACTTTTTTGAATGACATCCTATTTTCAAGTGTCTTTCTTCTTAATCTGTTGGATTGTAGCGATGCAACTCCTAAACATTGTGTGTGTTCCTTGTGGTCTTCTCATCCATGTAATTTACATGAGAGGAGGCAGGATGGAGAGGTCCCTGTAAATGTCAGGACGCCAGGAACACCTTGTTAAGGTGGCAAGTCCTGGAGCCCACAGTTCTCAGAATTGCCTTTGCCGTGTGCCTAGTTGGTATGGGAGGGGAAGCTTTGCCGTGGAGGAGCCCAGATGTGTTGCCTAAACAACCGCTGTATGAATGAATAAAGTATTTTCTGCCTTGGACCTTCCTGTAGGGATTTAGGTGACTAGAGACCGGCGAGGAGAGGCTGATGGGCTCAGGTGGGAGAACGCAGTACCTCACCATGACCACCGAAAATCCGGCGGCGGGAGAGCTGGCTCCGGCCCCCCTTGTCACTTGCAAGCTGTGCCTCTGCGAACAGTCCTTGGACAAGATGACCACACTCCGGGAATGCCGCTGCCTCTTCTGCACAGCAGTAAGTCTTCCCTGATGTTTTTGTCGCAAGCGTGGGAAAATACGGAAGGGGAGAACCGTGAAAGGACAGGGTTGGCTTCTGTGGCTTTCTGGGACGCCGGGGTTTGCGACAAACAGGCCCCCGTGTGAGAGAGCTCTTCCACCTTTGGGTCTCTCTCCAAGTACTGTCTTGAATGGTAGGTCTGAGATGTCCTGGTTTGGAGGCAAAGGATAATATATGTGTGAAATGTAATTATTGGTTAAAGAAGCAGAATCTGTTCTTAAAGGATGAGGCAAGGAACAAAATAGAAATATTCCTAACATGTCTTAGTTAACTACCATCTGAAAAGCATTCTCAGTTATTTTGAACGATGGAGAAAGCAAGTAGCAAATTCCTGAATTTTCTTTTGTAGACTTGCTCATCTCCTACAAAGCCCATGAGATCTAATTCTCTTACTTTGTTATGACAAAGTAAGATTCTTTTTTCTCCCCCTATTTTCACAATATGCCGGATGGTGCTTATTAGTCATGAACAGGAGAAGCCTGTAGATCTCCAGGGGTGGGCTTGTTTCTTTTACTCTGATACTTAGTATCAATGTGTGTGACCTGATTGCCTGGATCCCTGAAGGTTGGTTGGTTAAGGTGTGAAGACGGGAAACAGCACGACGGATTCAAAGTGGCTGCTAGAAGCATGAACCTAGGTGGTCTTATTCAAATTTTCGTTTATTAAACATCTTTTGAGCTCCTTCTGTGTGTCAGGGATGCTGTGGGATGTTGGGGACGTAGCGGTGAAGGAGATGGTTCCCGCAGGGAAGAGGGACATATTGAAGGAGCATTTATGTTTAGTGGAATCCGGGGAAGCTCGACCTACCAGAGGAATGTCTCATGCATGTGGGGGATGGAGGGACATCCTGGGGGCAGTGACCTCTGAGCTGAGGCTTTACTTAGAATTTGCAAATGGATGCTTGTGGACCAAGTCTGGGCTCAACACATTTTTGTTTGGATCCCCAACTGGGAACTTTCATGAGAAAATGAAAAAGTGGTACGATATAGCTACTCTGGGTCTGTGTTGATAGGCCCAGAAATAGATGAGCTTTCCTCTGTTAATATATATATCAATCATAATCATCAATTCGTATCTCTCTATATACGTATTTTTTAAAAATTTATTTTTATTTATTTTAAAGAGAGAGAGCACACGCGCAAGCAAGCACATGAGTGGGGAGAGAGATGGGGGAGAGAACTCCAAACAGACTCCATGCCCAGCACAGAGCCCAACACAGGGCTCAATGCCATGACCCATGAGATCATGACCGGCGCTGAAACCAAGAGTCGAATGCTCAACCGACTGAGCCACCCAGGTGCCCTCCTCTGCTTATGTTACCCGCCTCTCTCCTATTTGTGTTTGAGTCAACTGCACTTTTTTTTTTAAAAAGGATTTTATTTATTTATTTATTTGACAGACAGAGATCGCAAGTAGGCAGAGAGGCAGGCAGAAAGAGATGGGGAAGCAGGCTCCCCGCCCAGCAGAGAGCCTGATGTGGGGCTCGATCCCAGGACCCTGGGATCATGACCCAAGCCGAAGGCAGAGGCTTTGACCCACTGAACCACCCAGGTGCCCCTCAACTGCACTTTTAAACTGAGGATGGGTAAGACTCATCCAGGACACGTGCTGCCATCTCGGCCTGGCAGAGGCCTGATGCCCGACTTACAATATTTACCATTTATCTTTGCTTTGGTGGGCCTTGTAGCAGCAGACTGTTAATGTTTATTATACCAAGGTATAATATTCACCAGACAAATGTGGGTGTAGTGCCCTGACTTGAGAAGGATGTTGAATTGCTCAGTCACAGTGACCAGCGCTTATATCAAGGGGAGTAAGAAGAAAGGAATCGTTAGGGAAGTAGAATCATTTATCAAGAGGCATGTTTACTAAGCATATCTTTGGGGGAAAGAAAGCACATAATAAATTAAGGTGAAATAAATTTTGCTCTCTCTTTTCACTTAGTTCAGTTAATCAATGTGACGTGTTCTCAAGCTTGTGTATATCAATTAAAAATTTGGGGGGGGGATTGAGAATTCGGGTGGGGAGAAGCCTTGGGATTATTCTTAGGTAAAAAGGAAGAAAGAGATTAAAATCTTTCCCTTAGGTCTTCCATCCAAAGATGACAGCGAGGACAGGAACTGTTCTAGGCACCGGGACTTACCAGTTTAAGAAACAAAACCCAGCAGAGATGCGTGCTCTTAGGAGCTTACATTCTGTCCAAGGCAGTTGCACAATAAACTGTAAACATAATAAACGAGCGAGTTCTACAGGATGGGGTCATGGGCCTGCGGGAAGGAGTAAGGCCGGCCCAGGGAGCTGGAGTGCGGCGGGCTGGGGGGATTCCATTTCCGTTAGGCTGTCAGGACGAGGCCTCAGGGACATCTGTGCTGGCTTTTCCTCTTCTCCTCGGCCTGTGTTGCTTAAGGAAGTGATCTTGTCATCCAGGGGTGGCTTCAGTTTCCTCTGGACTCGCTTTGCTGCCGACGGCTGTGTTCCGAGGGGTTGTTCTCTGACTGGCGCACCTGTGTTTCGGACCCTTGCCTAATCCTTGAAACAAATGAGTCAGAAGCAACGTTTGGGTCAAGGCAGGATGGAAATTTTTGTCTCAGGGTGACTGACGTTGAAAAAGCAGGATCTGGAATTGAGTTTTTGCGACGAGACTCAGCAGTTCAGGGTTCCAGTTTGGGCACGAGCGTCTGCACGTCTGGGGACGAGGTATCTGATCGCATCACAGTTACGGTTGCAAGAGCTCTCAGTTCCCGGTTAAAAGCGACACAATGGCTTCTCGGTTCTCCTTTGGCAATTGGACGGTAGGAGTTAGGACAATTGGATTATTCTGTCATCTGTGACCCTACTTCCTCATTGCTGGGGAGTGAGTGCTCCAAACCAGAAAGTCAAATGGCTTGGTGTTTTTGATATCCCTCCAAGTCTGGAACTTTCTGCACCTATAAACATTAACCTTCCCTGGCTTCCTGTACCCCATTCCCTGTGATCTACCAAACTAGTAACCTGCATGTACTGGATTACATTAGTGTCTGTAAATTTGCAACTGAATCAGGCTCACCTGAAATACTACTCTAACTTTTTATCATTTAGACCTTTCATTTCTTCTTCTAAAAAAGCTATTACAGGATGAGTCTGATCCCCCAGATTTTAGTTTGCACTTAAATACTAGATACTAAATATTGATATTAAAGATACCAAGTGTGTTTTGTGTTTTCAAGGCTGAAAAGAAATTTGTGACTTTGCTTTTTGAAGATTTTATATATTTGAGAGAGAGAGACACACACACAGACAGCATGAGCTGGGGGGATGGGCAGAGGGAATGGAGAAGCAGACTCCCTGCAGGGCAGGGTGCCCAACTTGGGGGCTCCATCCCATGCCCTGACCCAAAGGCAGCTGAGTACCTGACTGAGCCACCCAGGGACCCCTTGTGACATTTTTTAATAGGCATCTACTAGTAATTTCCAGCTTTAAATATGACTGGATGACATCTCCTAGTTATTGGCTGGGAAGGACATCTTGGGCAAGTTGTGTCTTTAAAATAGTTTTGCTGAGACTGTTCTCCCTCCCCTCCTCATTAGGAGGCTGATCAAATAGAATGGTCCTCTTGCTGGATCCAGTATACGTTCATAGATTTAATAAAGCTTTTTATGCCTTTTACCCTTGTCCTGTTTTCCCTAAGAATGATCCCTGACCAGGTTGCCGTGAGCTTAAATTCTTTGTTTCCAAGATCAGTGTGCCCTGGGAAAGCAGTGTGGATAGATGTGGAGTGTCTGACTGGACCATTGGATGGGGACCCTATCTTTAGCGAGATCTGGCCTTTAAGTAGGTGCCCCCACCCCTCGTGTGCTCTGTGGCCCTCTAACTCTGTGGAATAGAGGTGATCCTCAGATAGAGTGTCCCAAGCCCAGATTAGCTTGGAAACTGGTATGTTCTCTCTTCCTCTTCTTGGAAGGGACGTAAGGCACTCGAGAGGCTCTGTGAAATCTTCCGGTTAAAAGAAAACCGGGGCACCTAGGTGGCTCAGTGGGTTAAGCCTCTGCCTTCAGCTCAGATTATGATCTCAGGGTCCTGGGATCAAGTCCCGTATCAGGCTCTCTGCTCAGCGGGGAGCCTGCTTCCTCCTCTGTCTCTCCCTGCCTCTCTGCCTACTTGTGATCTCTGCCTGTCAAATAAATAAATAAAATCTTAAAAAAAAAAAAAAAAAGGGATCCTGTTTCACTTCTCCTGAGGAGGCGTTTCCATTTGACCATACCACTTTTTTAGTGGAACACCCATTAACTTGCCCACAATTTGTGCGCTGGCGAATGTTGCTTTAAATCATTGACGTGTAGGTAATTCTTGATTTAATGACGTCCAGAGAGCAGACTGTAATGCGTGTTGCTTCAGATAGCCTATCAGTATAGCTGGTTTCTTGACAAAGGAAACTTCGTGAGTTCTGTTTCGGAGGGTGGTTTCTGTAGACTGTTTGCTTGGCTTTAATATATGGAAGAAAGTGTAGTATAAAGCAAGGAAGTCTATACAGGACGTAAATGGGCATAGCTGTCACAATCATGACTGATCTTGTAGATCATGAGGTGCATTATGGAGCCAAAGAAGTTGGTATTTTGGGGTTCTGGAGAGAGGTGTTGCAAAATTACTTGTTCTTGCCCTTGAAGGGTAAATATCTCAGGGATGTTAGTCTACTAAATAATGATATGCAGAAACTCTCTCTCTTCTCTTCTCTCGCTCCCTCTCTCCTGTGGATTTAAATAACCCCACCCATGAAAATTCAAAATTTCCTTTTCTGGCATTTGCACCATACTCTTTCAGATAATACCACACCATTATAATTCAAGTGGAAGAAAAAAGAGTCACAAAAGTCAGTTATCAAAAGGAGGGAAAATTTGTGGGTTTGCTCCCTGGTGAGCCATTTTTGCCTCCCTGATTTATTTTGGAAGCTATTTCTGTCTGCCACGAATTAAAGAATAATG